GATGCGCGTTCGTTGTAAAGCTTTGCATTACGGCACATAAGATTTATTTCCCTCTCCAGGTCATTCAGCGAGCGATATCGGTTGCTTCGTATTCTTCTAGCGATGATCTTCAAGTCGATCGGATTTTTCACGGACACGTAATAATCCGGATATTCCTGAACAATTGCCAAACGATAAAAAACAATAAGAAGGCATACGAAAAATGAAATGTACAAAATCCAAGCTAAAATTAAACGATGACGAAAACTACGTCTGCATATCAAAACACATTGAATCCTGAGCTCTGCATTAGTTGTAGACGTTTCTGATGCTTTGACTGATTTAGTTCAAGCAAAACTGTATCACTGGGTACCAATATCTGACTGTTTGATAGCAATTTCTACGGAAGAACATGACGCCATCGAGCAAACGTAAGATTTTGTGTTTGCCTGTGGATCGTGGATAACAGTGAAAAACAAATGTTAGATGTATCAACAGCGCGCCAAAAAACCATATTTTCGTCTTTCTGCATGGAGCAAACAAGAATCAATGTAGTTGAATGACTGACCGACTACTAATCCTGTAGTACGGTTATTCTGAAACGATCAGCTAACGAGATTCTTGCGGATAATTATAAAATTCTTACTAATGGTGATAACGATGCAGTAGATTGGAAGTGGCAGCCGATAGGCAAATGAGCTCCCTTCCGTTGAAACTAACGGCGGTCCCTGATTCACAAGCAAGCACTTGCTCGAACTGAAGTAACGTGCTGCTCTACCGCACGCTACTTCTAATTTTCTCCAAGGACACGGAGCATAAGAACAATCAATCAATCAAAAACAATGAACCAGATGAAATATGAACACAGACTAATGATGCAGAAGGGTTTCGACCCCTGGATCGTCAACGCGCCTCTCGGTGACATTCTTCTAACTTATGCAAGTGCCCCCTCGTAGTCTACACGCACATAATAATATGATTTGAAAAAAAACTCGACTGAGGAATGGCATCGAGCAATTCAAAAGACAGATTTTCGCCATCCATGAATTTCCAAAATGATCTACCCCTTTAGCAAGGAGCAGGATCATACTTAAATTATGACTAGACTTCAACGAACCAAATTTAGACAACCTGAGGTATAAAAGTCAAACAAATCGAGGCTAAACAGACACCTGTAAGCTTTGACTGTAACATACGGGGATCCCACAAAGCTCATAGCTTTTATCACAGTTGCATTACATATGATTATGTAGACGTCGAAATCTGTACAAGCAAAAGACTAAAAAAATTACCGTCATCTCTGCGTTATATGAATCATTTCATGCAGAAGAGTACAAACAGAAATGCAATCAGTACCTGCTCGGAAGGAAGCAATTTGAAAGCCTGTGATATGATGCGACCGGTTTCGTCCTTGTACAATAAAATAAACGCGATCAGCTGCTCAAGAAAGTAGCTTGGCACCGGATCAGAGCCCGATGAACTCAGCATGCTTGGACTAGCGTCGCTGCTTTTGAATGAACGACTTGGACTATTGGATCTGAAGCGAAAATTCGTTAGAGTTATGAGACAAAGCAAAATGGCAAGCGGCTGATGTCAAAATGTCAGCACGATGGAACCTTAAACTCCGACATGATTGCGATGGTGAACTTTCGCGAGAGCGGTTACTCGTCTCTGAAGTGTCGTCGGTGAGGTCGCCCAAATGACTCTTGGACTCCGAAAGCAGTTCCCAGAAACTACAGACGTCCCGGTACTCCTGCGAATTGGACTAAACGAAAACGTATCACAATGGCGTTTTAAATTGCAAACAAATGCAGGAAACTAGTTGTTACATCAGAGGAAGAAAAGCTGAGATCATGACTTCACGCAGTCAGAACACAGTGGGATCATAAGATAAAATGGAGGTATATATTAATATGTATATATATATAGTCAAACTCGCGGCAACGGAACTGCGCATTTACAATTACTATCGATCTGCGCTAAAACGCTCTGCGCCCAACTATTATAAACCGCATGAAAGATGCTTTCTTTGGTATTCACATGCTCTGCACATATACATCCCTCGTGGCTAAAAATATCTTTAAGACTGCATTCATGCGGTAATATTTACTTAATTCGGTGAACGAATCAGTTATGGTCATCTCAGAACACACCACGCTTCAGTGACGTCCTTCGCCGCTACCTTTCAATTATGCTTCAGTAAACTTTAAAGTACCTTGTAAAAATGTTTGAGGCTTTCCACCAGCAAATGTACATCGGATATCAGCTCGTTCGCATGTGCATATTCATTTTTCTTGATTCGATGCTGTATCTGCATAAGGCTGACAAACGCATCTGAGGTATTCGGCTTCTCTTCGATACCACTAAGCGCAAAAATTTTAGGTTAACTTTTAAATCAATTATCAGACAAAATTGTAACAAAATTATGCCTTTAAACTATTTTAAATTTCAGGCGAAACAGCAAGGCAAGCAACGAAAGTATATATCGTGAAACGACTGAGGTGTCATACAGTTAGTGATAAGAGTGAACAAACGATGGCAGTATTCAATTAGAAAAACCCTAACGAAAGCTGAGTTGTCGTAGGTATCTGAATTAGTTGGCTGTATTCATCGGCCATTTTCGATTTACGGTGGGAGAACGCGCTCTCCGTGACTTTGCCATAAACATATGTTTTCTGCCATTTTATCCATCTGTTTCAGCGAACTTAATCAGCTTTTTCTGTCATCGATCTGGATGTCCTCCTAAAAGTCATTTACTCTCTCAGTTGGAAATCAGTCTAATGTCCCTCTGGTTCAACTATGATCGGATCTTCTCACGTGTCTTGCCCACTGCCACATTAACTTCTTTACTTGGGCAATGAAGGCCACATGTCAAGAATACAAAATACCTCGACTATCATGCGACTTCTCAGCAAATAATCTTATCGTGGAAGCATCACAAAACCAAAATTAACAAACAGCACTTAAAACAACTTGATCCTCGAGAGTCCAATTTAGTTCTGACTGCCACATTCAGAGACATTGTCGAAAAAATTGAAAACTAACTGCCGAAAACGGTACTACAAAATTGTCTTCCTTGGGTCAAAGCCATGACAGGACTGAAACATTGTTAAATGAGCGAAAATCTGTAAATGGACACAGACGGTTGTAACTATTGGTAAGAAAACTGCCGAAACACCCGGCAGAAATTATGTGAAATTATGCCCCATGTCTTCAATCGCCTGGGTGTGGCACTGACACTGAACAGGACATGTCAATTTTTCATAAAGGCGCTGAGAAAAAACATTTAAAGCGTCGGGTTGCCAAAATAAATAAAACGGAAAAGGTAAAAATAGTAAATTATTTTTGTATAAGAGTTATACAATGTAATGTCTCGTAATGTTCCTTCTCTCATAAAGAGATATGCTACATCTTCTTCGACGCTGCAGCAGCAGCTGGTTCAGAAGAATAGAGCTATTCAACAGCCACAAGATATGGAAGAGGCAACCTGATACAGGAGTTCTTGTCACTTTTTGAGGCTCTATGATAGGTACAGAATTTGAGCAACGTTTAACTCCGCTATCGTACAAACCGATCATCCCTCGGGAATCAAGTTTGCTTGTCTTAGCAGCAACTAGGTCGTTTCATTTTCGTCCAATGAATGCTTTCCTTTCATCCTATGCGTATCATATAGTCAAAACATGTAAATGCGTGCTTACAAATAAAAGCAATTGAACTAGCAAATCCAATTCTAAAATTCAATGGTTTGGGACGCAAGACAAAGGCTTGTTATTAAACCTCCATTACATACTGGTTAACGTTTCGATTACACGACAGTAACCTTCTTATAACAAAAAACTGGCAACGTATCAACTAACAAATATCGCAAACTTTAATCAGGCCAAAGCAACTTTGTAAACTTTGTAGCAGATATCTAAGTAAAGCCTCAGTCTTTTAATTGGCAGACCTTTACGCAGAGAACCTCGAATTGTGGCCATACGTGTTGTTTAGTTTCAAGACAGTAAAAAACTTTTCCGCGGAGCAAATGTTTTTAATGACGTTCCAGATATACGCTACATTGTTTTCCAAATCGCGGCAATGTTTACCGCGATGTTGTATTTCAAACAGAAAGAGCTTCCTCGAACACACATCCATTATCATGTTAGAGGAGAGGCAGAAACAATTTCCAACGCATAAACTGGTGGGATTAGCTTTTATTTTCGGCAGCATAACATAAAGATGATGGAGTAACTCTTATCTACACCAATGACATCTGGGATGACTTAAACCTGTTGTGACAGAGCGAGCAGACTATGACCGTACTGCCGGACACCATCCATTGCTAATCCCTTAGAAGGCCACCGCTGTGTAACCGAAAAGGTTTGGTAACGTCAGCCAGTGTCTTGCACCGAAAACTAATGAATCGAATACTTAGATATGCATACTTTTTCTGCGTTCGGGGCAATCGAATCAAACTTAACACACTGCAGTTGAACTTAAACTTACAAGAAATCTCCAAATCTGGTTAAAACAACAATTAAACTCGGCAAGTCGATCCAGGCCGACCCTGCCCATACATTACATCAGTTTCTAAAAGCGTGCCTGTAGAAAAACTGACACATTCGGTCAATTTCATCTTCTTCTTCCATCGCCGCTTCTCCTTTCGGGTCGCAGAGGCAGACGGGTCAGACAGAGCTTGAAACGTTCAAGATCCTGTGCCAGAGTCTCAGCTTCGGCAAAAGACAAATGCAGTCTGGAACAGACTCCTTCCATATGTTT